AAACTCACCGGGGGGACCAGCAGAAAATAGGTGAGGCTCTGATTCCCTGAGCACCACCTGGGATAACAAGGATTAAAAGCCACAAATTGGTTAAGAGTAAGTTCAGGCTTGATATCAGGAGGCATTACTTTATGGTTAGGGCTGCCAGGCTCTGGAATGGGCTCCCAAGGGAGATGGCCCTTTCCCCTAACTTCGGGTCTTCAAGAGGAGGTTGGATAGATATCTGGGTGGGGTATTATGATCCCAGCACTCGTTCCTGCCCGGGGCAGGGGGCCAGACTCTATGATCTGTTCAGGTCCCTTCTGACCCTAGAAACTAGGAAACTATGAAAGTTGCCAGCAGATTGAGGGAAGTAATTATTCCCCTTTATTCAGCACTGGTGAGGCCACATCTGGAGAACTGTGCCCAGTTTTGGGTCCCCCACTACAGAAAGGATGTGGACAAGTTGGAGACAGTCCAACGGAGGGCAGCAAAAATGGTTAGAGGGCTGGGGCACATGATTTATGAGGAGAGGCTGAGGGAACTGGGCTTATTTAATCTGCAGAAGAGAAGACTGAGGGGGGATATGATAGCAGCCTCTAACTACCTGAAGGGTGGTTCCAACAGAGGATGGAGCTACACTCTTGTTAGTGGTGACAGATGGCAGAACAAGGAGCAATGGTCTCAAGTTGCAGCAGGGGAAGTTTAGGTTAGATATTAGGAAAAACTCTCTCACTAGAAGGGTGGTGAAGCACTGGAATGGGTTACCGAGAGAGGTGGAATCTCCATCCTTGGAGGTTTTTGAGGCCTGGCTCAACTAAGCCTTGGCTGGGATGATTTAATTGGGGATGGTGCTACTTTGGGCTGGGGTTTGGACTAGCTGACCCCCTGAGGTCACTTCCAACCCTAATTTTCTATGATTCTATCTGAATCCTTTGTCTGCTCATGGTCCACACTAAGTAGAATTTAAATCAGTGTTGCTTATCTTGAATGAACACATACCCCAGTATGTTTTACCTAAGTTTTCTATGCCAGCATAAATTACAATGGGATGATACACAGACAGAAATGTAGCCATTTTGTGGTAGTTGCACACAATACAGCTAATGGTATTTAACAGGCCTCTAAAATCAATGTAACCTGAACCAGTCAAGTTTTACTCCTGATTCTTTCAGGGCCAAGTCTTCATCCATTTAGGAGAAGTAACCTTGTGGTTTGTGGTTTTTATCATCTGTCTACTACCTTTTTCCCCCTGTAAACTCAGTTATGCTGGTATAAGCGTGTTATATATGTCCTCACTCAAGGTTAAGTCACGGTAGTGTAGTTGCACTTACTGTGAGATAGGAGTGGACAGATGAAATGGGTACAATGGATCAGCCTATATGCTATCTCAAACAATAGTTTGGATGCTGAAGCATGAAATCTACATGGAACTGTTCAACTGTTACTTGCTTCCCCAAAGTGTGTCTAATGAATTACCACTTTATACATCAGCAGATTTAGGGACTTCTGATAGCGACCCTTAAAATTGCCAAAGTTCTGTTAATTCATCTTAGTTTAGCCACGTGGGACAAGCTACACGATGCATGATGAGATACAGTTAGCGGCATTTAACAGGCCTCTAGGAGACAACAGAAAGGGAAGACAGGAACATCTTGGGTGAAATTTAGCTAGAAAGGGGGCTACACAAGAACCACTGCAGCCCTTGTAGAAGGAGCCTGTTAAGGAAGACTTGCAATATGGCAGGGGCAGAGCTCCAAGATGTTTTTTCACATGAATCTCCTGCCTCACATTTAAAGTAACACTGAGGTAGTAGAATGGAGCTGGGCACATGTTTTTTCAAGTTTCAATATTTTGATGAGTTGAACTGAAAGAAATTGTTTCTCATTTTCCAACTAACTTTAATAGCAACACATATACACACTGCTCCTGGCACTTGGACTTTTTCCTCAACCTTGACCTCCATGGCACTATATTTCTATCTGCCTGTGACATGTTCAGATGATTCAGTGGTTCTCCTATTCATAGGCTGGAAGGACAGACATCCTTCCTCTTTCCCTGAATAACTTTTGGAAGCCTGGTAAGGGCATTTAGACCCTGATGCTGTTGCCTGATGAAACACAAACCAGACAGACCACTCCCAGCAGAAACAAAGACAGTGCTTCTGCAAAATGCTGTTGCCATATTTTTCAATTTTCAATACATTGGCTGGAACACAGGCTGCTCTGCTGCTACCCATATCCTTCTTGTTGGAATTATGCATGTATGAATCATTTATCTCCATAATTTTATCAAATACTGTGGTGATCCAAGGCATTTACATTGTTATGGATAGCTAACATGATGTT